AAAAAAAAAGACAGAAACTTAACACACTTTTTTCAGTAACTGAATATTAACAATTCTTCAACAAAACACACAGAATAACAGACTGATTTAGAAAACAGCATCCATATTTTTGCTGCCTCCAGAAACACAGTTCACCATTAATAACTGATAGCACCTTAGGGTAAAAGCATGGAAAAAGTTATTACAAACAAATGGAACTAAGAAACAACCAGGCATAGCTATTCTAATATCTAACAAAACAGACTTCAAACAAAAAATAGTCAGAATGGGGTTGGGGATTTAGCTCAGTGGTAGAGCACTTGCCTAGCAAGCACAAGTCCCTGGGTTTGGTCCTCAGCTCCAAGGGGAAAAAGAAAAAAAAAAAAGAAAAGAAAAAAAACTAGTCAGAAGACATAAGCAGGAACAATTCATTCTCAGTAAAGAAAAAAAATACAAAAAAACAAAACAAAACAAAACAAAACCAAAAACCCACCAAGAGGATATTATAATTCTGAACATATATGCACCAAAACACAAGGCTACCAAATTTCATAAAGGAAACATTATCAGATCTAAAACCACAGACTGACCTCAACACAGTGACTGTGGGTCACTTCAATACCTAATTCTCACCAACAGACAGGTAATCCAGAAAAAAACTAAACAAACTCTGGAGTTAAATGACATAATAAATCATATGGACCCAAGAGATACCTAAAGAACACTCCACACAAACACTACATAATACACATTCTCAACAGCTCATGGAACATTCTCCAAAATCAACTACATGTTAGAAAACAAAGCAAGTCTGAAGAAATATCGGAAGGCTAAAATCACATCCAGGGTTCTGGTGGTCTACAATGGGATGAAGCTGGTATCAACAGCAATAGAAATGACAGGAAGTACACAAACCTATGGAAGCTAAACAACACACAATTGAATGACAATTAGGTCACAGGAAAAAATAAAAAAGGAAATTTTAAAAACATGTAATTGAATGAAGATCAATACTGAATTCTACAGGACAAACGAAGGGAGGCCTAACAGGAAAGTTTATAGCAGTATATACAAATAAGATAAAATAAAATAAAATTAGAGACCTCAAATTCACAATTTAATGATGCAACAGAAGCCTGAGAAAAACCAGAACAAACAACATAAAAAAAATTACATTTGCCCCCCAAAATCAGGGCTAAAATTAATGGCATAGAAGTGTAAAAAAAAAAAAAAAAAAAAAAAAAAAAAAAAAAATCAATGAAACAAAGAGTTGGTTCCTTTTTTCAAGGTTCCAACTTGGTGGTGCACTCCTTTAATCTCAGCACATATACATATAATCAGCAAAGATATACATATTTCTATGAATTTGGAGCCAGTCTGGTCTACATGTTGAGTTCCAGGCCAGTCAAGACTAAAAAGTAATCTGCTATCTACAAACGAACCAAGAAATAATAATACAATAAAAGAAAAAGTTTAACAGGTATGTAACCAAACTAACCAATAGAAGACAATCAAAACTAAACCTGGAGATAAAATGGGAATATTACAATAGACACTAAGACTCCTAAGGACATGCTTTAAAAGAAAAAAAAAATCTATATTCTACCAAACTGTAAGGTCTAAAAGAAATAGATGAATTTCTAGATACACATGGCTAACAAACTAAATTGAGATAAAATGAACAACTTAAATAGACCCATAACTTCCAATGAGATAGAAATAGTAATTAAAAAAAAAAAATCTCCCAGCTAAAAAAAAAAAAAAAGAAAAGAAAAAACCCAGAACCAGAAGGATTTAGTGTCGAATTCTACCAGAGTTTTAAAGAAGATCTAATACCAATACTTCTCAAAATACAAAAGGAACATTTCAAAATTATTTTATGAAGCCAGTTTTAATCTGATAACAAAACCAGACAAAGAGCCAAGAAAAAATACTATAGGATGATATCTCTGATGAACATGGGATACAATATTCTTCACAATTTTGCAACTAAAATCAATAACACGTCAAAACAATCATCCACCATGACCAAGTTGGCAGGCAAGAATGTTCAGAAGCTATAAGCCTCAAATGTTGCTTGGGAATAAGTTCATCAAACAAAGCACTTTGATATAACTATCCAAAGGGAGGATAAAAACAACACATCTGATAAAAGCATTCACAGTATCATTCAGCTATTAAAAACAATGACATCAGGAAATGTGAAGGCAAATGGATGGAACTAGAAAAAAAAATCATCCAAGGCAACCTAGACCCAGAAAGATAAACATGGTATGTACTCACTCACAAGTGGATCTTAGCTGTAAAGTAAGGGATAACCTTGCTACAATCCATAGCCCCAGAGAGGCTAGGTAACAAGGAGAGTCCAAAGGTGGACAGGTAGATTTTCCCAGGAAGGGAAGATAGTGATGGGAACATAAAGGATCAGGTTGGGGAGTGGATGGAGGGGGGAAGAGTAATGAAAGAGATGGTCTTGATGGGGGATAGCATTAGGGGTCAGGTAGAAGCCTGATGCAAGGAAGACTCCCAAGAGTCTATAGCAATGACCCTAGCTGAGACTCCTAGCAATGGTAGATGGATGGCCTGAATTGGCCATCTCCTGTGATCAGATTGGTGACTACCCCAACTGTCATTGAGGAGTCTTTATCCAGTGACTGGAAGAAACAGATGCAGAGATCCATAGCCAAGAACTGGGCCAAGCTTAGGGAATCCTGTTGAAGACAGGGAGGAGGGATTTCATGAGCTGGGGGGTGGGGGTGGAGGGTGAGGATAGGTGGGTGGGGTGTCAAGGTCATCACAAAGGAACCCACAAAAACAACTAAACCTGGGCTCATAGGAGCTCACAGACTCTGGACTGACAAGTTATGGAGCCTGTATGGGATGTGCCTAGGGCCTCTACATATGTGTGACAGTTGTGTAGCTTGGTCTACTTGTCAGACTCCTAGCAGGGGGAGCAAGGCCTGTTTCAGACACTTTGGCTGGCTTTTGAGAACCTGTTCCTCATGCTAGGTTGCCTCGCCCAGCCTAAATGCAGGGAGAGATCCATGTTCCTACCTCAACTTGATATGCCATGCTTTGTTGACCCCTATGGGCGGCCTGCCCCTTTCTGAACAGGCAAAGGAGGAGTGGATTAGAGGAGGGGCAGAAAGGAGGTGAAAGAGGGAATGGGAGAGGAGGGAGCTGAAACTGGATGTAAAATAAATGAGAAAAAAATCTAATAAAAAAAAGAAAGAAAGAAAAATAGAACCATAGAGATTTAGTTAGAAAACTACATTTGGTGGAAAGGGCAAAAAGTGAATCTGGCAGGATGTAAAAGTCCCACAGGGCAACTACCGGAGAAGGAAGCCAGTAAGTGCAGAGCCACAATGAATGGCTGAAACAGCAGTAGATTCAGGTGCAGCTGCTGTGCTGCAGATAAAAAACACTTTTGTTTCCACTCATGTCACCCTTTAAAAAAATATTTTAAATTCCATTATATTTACCTAATTTGTGTGAATGAGTGTGTACACATGTGTGTCAGCTTATTGGTGGCAGGGGAGCAAGTGCATGCCATGGTGTGAATTTTTAAGTCAGAAGACAACTTGCAGGAGCTGGTATCCTCCTTCCATCACACAGGTCCAGGGAGCTTGAACTTAGTTCATCAGGCTTGGCAGCAAGTGCCTTTACTGTCTGGGACATATTCCCTAGCCCAGTTAACAATACAGGGATGTAAGCATAACAAAGCTGACTGAATAAATGTTTCTTCACCTCCAGAAAGATCCAAATTCTGGACATATTCATGAGCAATCTCATAAGGTTATATTTAATTTATAATCATACAAAATGTGTGAAAATAATAACTATTAAGTCTAAGAAGCTTCTTTCCAAGCACAAATTGAAGCAACATATCCATAGAGAATCAGGACAAGCAGAAATGATACATGCAAGATTATGACTTGGGCCCCAAAATGAAATGCCCAGGAGAAGGAATAACAGAAGCACTGTCAGATTGACTAGCCTCTTCTCTGGGAACTGATCTCTGCATAAAGCCCCCTCTTTTTGTGAATTCCAAAACACGCTCAGTCATTAAACTGTACTTATGCACCAGCTTTTCTGAATGAGCCTGAGAGTTACACCCTCTTTGCTAGATGTGAGATTTGCCGAGGATGGAATATAAACAATAAGTTTCATGACTTATAGACCCATGAACTCTGCCTGTGGGAAAACAGGCTGATGATCAAAGAAAGCAATTATGTCCCTACACTCGAGGTTAGGTCTAAGTTCCTTGGTCATGTAGTTTACAAAATTAATCACAGGTTTCACTACGCACCTTGAAAAAACAAAGTTGTGAAAGGAAATTAAATGACCTTGTGTGTAAAGAAAGAAAAATAGATGATTAGCTAGACCACTTGTTTAAGGTTTTGTACAGTAGAAATAGGCTAGGAATCTGCTACATTGAAACAGCAAACAGCTGCCTGCCAGGACAAAAGGAACTGGTTGAAATATACGTGGCTTGCTTAAAAATTTGTTAATCAGTAATAAAAGAAAAATTGCTTTGGGGTAAAGATGTTATAGTGGGGAGATTAATACAAAAGAAAATGTGTAACTACTTGTGAGTTTCTAAGGAAAACACGCAAAGTGATCATAATGTGATTTCCTCTTGTGTAAAGATTAATTTGTTTTTGGAATATATGTGACTTGTGGTTATAAGATACTATTTTCTTGCGTAGAAACTGTTGTCTGAGGTGGTATAAAAGGGATAAGAAAAAAATAGAAAAAGAGAAAAATAAAAGGAAGAAGAATTAAGCTTTGCCCCCTAAGACTCTTGTGTGTGTTTAATATTCACCAACTCCACATCTCTTCAGTTTCTTTGACATGCTGAAGCTGGATTCAGGACACGGTGGTTCACATTGGAATCCCAGTATTTGGGTTTTTTTTTTTGTTTTTGTTTTTTCGAAACAGGGTTTCTCCATGTAGTTTTGCTGCCTGTCCTGGATCTCACTGTGTAGACCAGGCTGGCCTTGAACTCACAGAGATCCGCCTGCCTCTGCCTCCCGAGAGCTCAGATTAAAGGCACGTGCCACCACTATCCGACGGAATCCCAGTATTTGTAAGGGTGAGTAAGGCAGGAGGATCATTCCCAGTTAGATAACACCCAGGACCACATAGTAACTTCTAGGCCAGCGTGAGCTATATAAAAAGGCTGTATCTCCCAACCTCACCATCAAAGTCAGAAAAGGATTTAGAGATGACTAGGCCCAGGAAGGCTGTTGTCTGGTAAGTGGGACTGATACCCTGTGTAAGCTCCATAGAAAATGGCCACTTTGCCCTGTGACATGTGAGAAAGTTCAGAAAGAAGGTACTCATCAGACCAAATGTCAGAAACTGGACTGCCTTGCCTTCTTACAACTCAAACAAATAAATTCCTCTTCTTTACAAATAACCTAGTCTTGGATATTTTTCTGTAGTAGCACACAAGAACAGTACAGAGTGTATCTTATGTTCCTTGACTACATAAAATTTCTCAAAAGAACTGGAAAAAAAATCTGTTCATCTGTATACTACAAAGGATAACTAACGTCAAAATTATCAACAGTAATAGACAATCGGTTGTAAACATTTCTGAGGGATCAGGCACTCAGAAAAAATCCACTTACCACAATATCCTCAGGAAATGTGTCTCTGCTGAAGGAGCCATCATCAAACATGACCTCGTAGAAGGTTTGAGATGTCACATCTATCACTCTACAGCTGTAGTACCTAGTGTTCCGATGCTTTGTGATGACTGTCTGACCCACAGAGATGGCTTTCTCACAGGTTTTGGACTTCTGTAAGATAGAGAAAAAAGAAATTTGATAGAAATGAAAAAAGAACAGAAAATAAAAAGTATTTATTTGGGAAACAACCTTGTACCTCAATCCTCTAAGGCTTTCTTAAGCTACTTTAAATCCATGTATATCATGGTGTTTATCATCTGAATACTTCAATGTTTATTTTCTAAGAATGAGATATTCCTTTATAGAATCACAGCTCCAGACAGTAATCAACTTCAAGAGGTGCAACACTAACATAACACTTTAATCTGACACCTGGACTAAACTAGGTCAAACTGATCTCATAATGAATGACCTTGGTAGTTTCCTATTCCCTTCTCTGAAACTCTGAAGAAGTGAATCCATTCTCCAATTCAGTTCTGTTTATCTGCCACATTGTTTTAGGCTCATTTAACCTCAATTCTATAGGCCTTCTTTGTTTTGTTTTGTTATGTTAGTGATACTGTAGAAAGATAAATTTCTCTTGCTTTTTAATAGATGATCTATGTGATATTTCCCCATGATTATACAGTCTCACCCAGAATCCTATATTCTTTCTCATATTTCATTTTTTTTTTCCTGAAACAGGATTTCTCCATGTAGTTTTGCTGCCTGTCCTGGATCTCGCTGTGTAGAACAGGCTGCCCTCGAACTCAGAGATCCGACTGGCTCTGCCCGAGTGCTGGGATTAAAGGCGTGTGCCACCACTGCCCAGCATATGATATTTCATCTTAAGACACATAATTTTTGCATGTGTCTCAATGTTACTTTAGATCCTAAACCAAAGTGTGACCCAATTTCTCTACTTACTTACAATACTTTGAGTGTAAACCAGGCTGTGGCCTAGCTTGCTTTGATAAAAGGCTATCTTAGTTAGAAGTAATAATATATTAATTCAAAGCACTATGTTCAAGAAACCTTGGGCACTATTGTTTTATTCTGTCCCCTGGAGTTCTGCTCTGCTCCAGCTAAGGTGAAGCTTGTTACAGCTGTGCTCCACTCTGGCAAAAAACGTCACACCGCACAACAAACCTCACTTGAGATTATTGGGAAGAAAAACTCCAGGAGGGTGGCTGCCTCTGTGGTTAGAAGCAGCAGCAAACTGAACAGGGTACAGAGTTTATTTAGGGTTTCTTGGGGGGGGGGGTGTCGGTAGGCTTGGATTGGTGGTTTTTTGTGGGTCAAATTCAGAGATTGGTAGGATTTTTGCTCAGAGACCCTGACACATGAACAAACACAAGTTTGGATTCCAGAAAATGAGTGACATCGATAATAATTAGGAGCCTAGACACCAACAGAACTCAGTAACTGACACAGGTCCATAAGGCAGCCCAGCATGAAATAGAAGAACCATTCAGTTAATATTGTTTAAACAGATGACCTATAGGGATTTTAACTATTTACTACTATAATTACTACTCTGTAGTTTCCATTGATTATGGAAACACAAAATAGAAGAGTCCTTAAAATTTTCTCAAATCTTTAAACAACAAATTCATGTATAATTAACCAAAATGTTTTAAAACAGCAGACACAAAATTACTTAGCGAGAAAAGACCATCCTCAACATTTTCTCTTTTGCTCCATAAATCTAATATAGGAGGGATGTGAAAGGGTGAACACTTTATAAAGTAGAATGATATACTCTATATAAAGTAGAAGATAATCTATATGCATCTCTTTGTTTAGGGCACATGTGACAGAACACAGAAAAATACCTTATGTTGTTTTAATAGTCATCTTTGATTCCCAATACAGTTTTTCGTTTTTCTTTTTCAGTAAAATATATATTTTATTCTCAGGTTTGTGGCTGCACAAAAAACAGCCTCACCAAGGTTTTGGTAGTCATGACTTCACCTGCTCTTCACTCTACAGGGCAATACCAACAGCAAGATCCAGTTGTTAAATATACACAATGAAGACACCTTATAAATGGTTATGTTTTAGTCTTCATAAAGGCTCATACTTACATATTAAATAGGCTATGTAATTTACCCTCAAATATTATTCTTTCCAATCAAGGTTTGTACAAAGGTCAGAACAGTTAACACTAAAAAAAAAAAAAAAAAAAAAAGTTCTGGAGGGAAGAAGTAGTTACAACAAGGGACAATTCCAGAATGGACACTTTCTTATCATTTGGCACAATAATTTGGGTTCACTTCCTGAAGTAGGGCCAATTGAAAACTGATGAAATCATTGGTAGAATTAATATGGTTTAAATGTGAAATATGCCCCTATGGCCTCCTGTGTGTAAACATGTGGTCCTTAGCTGGTTGGCAGCACAATATTGGGAGATTATTGAAACTTTAGGAGGTAGGCCTTCTGGTGGAAATGGATCGCAGGGCTCAGAAGGGGAAGTGGACATGAACTCTCATGCCTAACCAAGAAGCTAGTTCCAACTGACAACCATTTAAAACAACAAAAACAAACCAATCAACAATCCTCCTCCTCTTTTATTCTCCACTGGAGTCCCAATTAGTATATACCACACTTAAGGGCAGGCTTCATTACCAGCAATAGATGAACAACACAAAATGAACTCACTGGTATTTTGTAGATTTTCTTTTTGTCTCATGTTGCTTTGATTGGAAAATTTTGATCTAACTGGTCATTTGCTTGTATATTATGGCTTCTTATGGGTTTTGTTCTTGTGTGTCTGTGTGTACATGCTTGTATGTGTTTTGTTTTCTAAAGAGAGAGAAAAAAGGTGTGGAGTTGGATAAATAGGGAAGTTGGGAAGATCTGGGAGAGGATGAGGGAAGGAAAACTGTGACCAGAATATACTGTATGAAAAAACCCTATTTTCAGTAAAAAGAATACTTGCTACATAAGCTTTCTGTGATGAGTGCACATGAACTATGTCTGAACAATATTATGTAATTATGTAATAAATGTACAACATTATGTAATATATTATTATAAAAATAACAATTAATTATTATTTCTTTTACAATCCTTACCTATGTTGACATCCCATCAAGATAGGATCAAAAAATAATTGTTCTATAAAGATACATTGCCCTGTGAGACACAGTAACAGAGCATAAACTCAGTAAATTTTCTTGGATTTCAAGAGAAATGGCTAATGGAATAGTAAAATGAAAATCAATTGAAATTGTCCTACTTTTCATTTAACAGTTTAGTGCAGAATATCTGTAGCACATCTTAATGGTAACAATCTAAAAAATTTTTCAAGTCCATTTTTAATCAAGTAAACCAATTATGCACCTGTCAGTCTTCCAGGTGTTAACTTGTACAGAATAGGAACAATCCAGTGAGGAAAACCATAGAATGGGAGAGAATCTTTGCGAGGTATACATCTGAGAGAGGATTAATATCCAGAATAAATAAGGACTCAAAAAAAAAAAAAAAAAGAAGCAAAATCCACAAATGAATCAATTGAAAAATGTGCTATGGGTCTGAACAGAGTTCTTAAAAGAAGAAATAAAAATGGTTCAGAAATATTTCAAGAAATATATCTATCATCCTCAGCAGACATGCAAATTAAAACAACTTTGTAAATTCATTAACAACTGACAATCAAGGCTGGAGAGAATGTGAGAAAAGGGGAATTCTCATTTACCATTAGTGGAAATGCAAACTGGTGAGTCCACTCTGTAAATCAGTGTGAACAATGATCAAAAAGCTCAAAATAAATCCACTATATGACCCAAAAATACTGCTCCTTGGCTTAAAGGAGTTGCCATCATAAAGTACAGACACTTACTTAGCCACATTAATGCTGATCTAGTCAAAATCGTTAGGAAATCAGAACAACCTACATGTTCTTCAACTGATGAATAGATAAGGATAATATGGGATATATAGATAACGAAATAGTTTTTAGCTATAAAAAAGCTGAAATAATGAAATTTTCAAGTAAATGAGTGGACCTAAAATATTGAGTATAGTAACCCATATCCAGAAACACAAACATTTTCTCTTTCATTAGTGGTTCCTCGCTCCAAATACTCAGATGTGAGTATATAACCTGGAATGACTACAGAAATCATGAAAGTAAAAGGTAGTGTGTATGTGTGTTTCGGGGGGACTTGAGAGGAAAATAGCAGAATACAGATGATATAAAGGTGAAAGAAGGAGGGCTTTGATGAGGAGTGAGGAAGGAGAAGGGTCAAATAACACTAAGGATGTTTAAAAACAAGACTTAAACCCAAATTACATACTACATGTAAATAATATAAATAGAAATAATCATCTCAAAAAAGTTACCCCACTGGGGCTGACAATTTCCCTCACAGGAATGACAGAGTATCTAACAAAAACTAATACCAGGCATGAGAGTACAACTTCATTTGGAGTTGTCCAATAGGATCACTGGTCAGGGTAGTACAAGTGATTGTCTAAGCAATATAGCCTATTACTGTTGGCCTTGATTACATCTTAAAGCTGAAGACAAAATAAACTTAGGATGCAGAACTTGGAAGATTTGAGCTGGATCTGACCTGAAAACATCTTTCCTGCAATCAATCTTTTATAGTATCAGAAGGTGCTATGCAAACTTCGAGAGAATCAAGCAATAGACCTACCCAGCTGTGATGCCTCTGAACCACCTCAATGACTAGCAATGGCAAGATATCCCTAACGGTACAATAGTGGCACTCAAATATTTGTGATAACAAACAGTTCTCCAACTTAACTTATGAACTGTTCACAGAAAGGAAATCATGCCTGTTTCTGGAAACCTAGCCAATGACCTGGGGCTAGTGAGGTCATGGATTGTAGAGGAAAAGCTGCTATCCCCACATTAGTAAACCAATATAATTCCTAACTGCATTAGAAACTTTATACCCACAGATAAATGTAGCTCTTCCTCTTAATTAAATAAACTTCTACTAGCAACAAATGGAGACCATTATAAGTAGTCAAAATGCAGACATCAACTGATCATGGAATACAAAGCTCCAATTAGTATACTTAAAATATAACTCCTGCACCTCATCGAAGATTAGGGAAGAGGGGAATGGAAATATTGTAATAGCCTGAGGACCAAGAAATCTGCTATGAGATTGTATCTCCTAGATGTGACAGTTTCATGATACTGGAACTATGTGACTGCCTAAATAAGACCTTAAGGAAGTTCAACATCAACAGAGATGCTAATGTGGAAGAAGGAAAATCTATTGTGGAAGAGGAAAATCCCTCAGGTGCCCACCCATAGACAAAGAATTACAGGTATCAATGACCTCTGAGTAAGGGAAAATTAATCTTCCCCAGCAACGAGACCCTAATTGGTTATTAAATACCAAGTGGTCAGTCCTGAAATCATACACTACAGGTAATACTAAATGGACTTGGCATATTGTGTACACACACACACACACACACACACACACACACACACACACACACACACAAATAAAGAGATAAATGTTATTAAATTTGAGAGGGAGGGATTAGAGAGGTAGATAGGAATAGTTTGCAAGAGAAAGGAAAGGAAGGGAAGTGATAAATTATATTTTAATTAAAATTAAAATAACATTTAAAAATCATTAACATTTTATTACTTGGACATATTCAATTTCTTATTAGCAATTACAAACTTTGGACCTACTGGGTAATTTTAGAAGATTTTGTAAAAGGGCATTGCATAATCAGGATATGTGAATATTTATTTAGCTTATCTATGACAACAGATATGAACCTTAAAACAGACTTGCTTTGTTCATCAGTTTTTTTTTTTGTGGTGCTTTAATAGTGAATATGTGGCCTAAGCCAGTTCTTTGTCTCATGTAGCCCAGAGTAGCCAAAGGCTAGACACCACTGTTCTTGAATATGTGAGAGGAAATAGAAATAGAAGATCTGGTGCTTTGAATGAGAATAACCACTATAGGCTCATGTCTGAATGCTTGGTCCCCAGTTAGTAAAACTGTTTTGCAAGGAGTAGGGTGTTTGTTGGAGAAGGTGTGTCACTGAAGGTGGGCTTTGAGGTTTCCAAAGCCAACACCATGACCAGTCTCTATCTCTGTTTCTCTGCCCCTCTCTCTCTCCCTCTGCCTTTTGCCTATGGATCAGATGTAAGCTCTCAGTTACTGCCCTAACACCATGCCTGCTTGCATGCTACCATGATTTTACCATGGTAACCATGGGCTAACATGCTTTTATAAGTCCCCTTGGTTATGGTATCTCTTCACAGCAATAGAACACTAAGACAGAAGTTGGTACCAGAGACTGGGTTATTGCCATGGCAGGCCTGAACATGCTGTTTGTCAGAGAAAAATATGCCTCTGAAACTATAAGCAAGGCCCCAATTAAATGCTTTCTTTTATAAGTTCCCTTGATCACAGTGTCTCTTCACAGCAATAGAATAGTAACTAAGACATACACCAAACTCAATAGTTTATGATACTAAACACACAGAATTTGTTTTAAGATTATTCTTTTAAATATATAAAACAAATACTGGGGGAAACTGATAAATAAAAGCAGAAACCTTCTATGAATGAAAATGGAGATCCCATTGACATAGAAGTAGGTTTATACTTTATTTCCCCTAAATTGTACAGGCTTTGTTATAGAAAACAACCAGTTCAGGAGCCAGGCATAATTTTATTTTATGGTTTTCATGGCTATGATTTAGCCCATTAATCTCAAAGAGTCAAGGCATGGATGAGAACACAGACAAATTACAGTTTTTGCTTTAAGATGCATGTCCTTTACCATTCATAATCATCATCATCTGATCATCAAAAAGTTGGTTGAATATGAACATTGTTGTATTTGAAAAGGAAAAATTATGTACTTCAGGAGAGGCAATTGCTGTGGGATATTTGATTGCACTGTGAAACTCCAAGATTATCTATGTTAATGAAATTAACCTTGGATTGGGGTGGAGGCAGTGACTAATTGACAAGAATTAGCCATAGAGAGTACAACTGACCCAGGGAGAAGGACAGAGAGACATAGAGGAAGGAGTAGGGAGGGGTTTTTTGGGCCTGGGACCAGTGGAAAGATGCTCTCTTGCTGGGTCTCTGGCCAAAAAGGAAGGTTAGCTGGTTGCTTCTTGGTATCTCTGTTTTAGCAGGTTTTCATCCCGACATCTAACCCCTAAGTCTTTATTGGTAAAAAGAACTTAGATAAAAACAACAGGCCACAACAAGCCATTATAATGTTTTTAACAGAAGTTACCAACAGATTCCACAGTTATTTTCCTACCGCTGTGACAATGCATCACAATCAAGGCAAATTATGAAAGAAAGCATTTAATTTGGGGGCTCATGGTTCCAGAGGGTTAGAGTCTATGATCACCATGGCGAGGATTATGGCAACAGGCAAGCAGAAGGTGCTGGAGTGACAGGGTGATGGAGTGATAGCTGAAAGCTCATGTTTGATCCACCAGAATGAGGTAGGGATAGCATAGGCTTTCTGAAACTTCAACCTCAAAGCCCACACCCAGTGGTACACCTTCAAAAAGCCACCAACTGGAGATCAAGCATTCAAGTATATGAGCCTCTGGGGGTTATTCTCATTCAAAACACCACAATAATTCTAGTTAGCTTCCAAATTTTGAAGTCTAATTGAATAATGGATAAGTAAAAGATACCAAAACTAACTTTCAAAAACTTGTAGTTACCCATAGAGGGCCAGAGGCAATTACAAACCTTACACTGTTTTTATTTTGCTTCAAAAGGAAATAGCCATATATACTATTAAGCTATAATATTCTCCTTATCAAATATACCATACATAAGTGGATCTGTAGGACAGTAGTTTCCACATCTCCTCAAAAGTCTTATGTTTTCTTTTTCATCATCTTATGAAAAATGGTTAGCAACTTAGGCTTGACTAAGTGACACACTATAGTCAGGAAGAGGCAGATTCTCAATAGAATCACCTGTAACCATAAAACACTATAGTACAAAAGTGTGGTATATGGTCCCAAGAAAAACTTCAGATATATACTGCTAGCTTTATTTAAGTTTGGAGTTAAGGATTCAAAAAATACTACAGAATATAAGGTGAAGAGTCACCTGCCATTTTATGACTACATCCTGCTTGTACATGGAACTGAACCTCTTTGAACTTAGTTTTGTTATTAAGACAGGAAAAATAATATTCATATTATTCATAAAAGATTGTAGTACCAGCAATAGTAAAAGTAAAAGGAATTTTAGTATGCAACTTTCATTTTTTCAGAGGTATCAGTTTTTACTGGCAGATTCTAAGCATGAACACTAATCACTGTGGCTCTAGAGGTCAGAACCTTATTATGACCCAAAATATATATAGGATAATTTAATGAGGTAATATTATTGGCTGTAAATGGCAAAGAGCCACAGCAATGAAATATATTATTACTAATCCCTTAGTTTGTTAATGTTTGCTACTGAAAATGATCTTTTTGGCTAATGGACATCAACTAAAGATGTCCATACTAAGGAAAAGTCATCAATGCAACCTATGCAACCTGTAACCTGAAACTATGGAAAATAACTTTAAAATAGACAGTTTGTAATGTTTGTACATTTGGACATTCTCACACATCTAGATTCCCAAGCCACAAATGTCAAATATCTCTCAAGACACTAGTAGAAATTGATGTGATCATTACAAAACGCTGGAAGGTTGTTGTATGAGAAAGATGAGAAACGGCTCATAAAAAGTTAATAAAAGGTGCATAAGATGAAGATATATTGTTTACAGATATGGAGCTATCAAATAATAGAAGACAGTCTTTTTTTTTTTTTTTTTTAAAGAGTAGAGGAGAAAAATAGTATTAGAGACAGGACAAGCATGTTAGGATGCAAATTGCTATACTGTCATAATCTTTTTAAGTTTTTAAGTCAAGGGAATGATTTCATTAACCAAGGAGAGGATAACTAAACTATAGTTAAATTCATGTTATCTAGGCACAAATTCTATTTACTCAGAGAAAGTTCAGTCTTAAATAAAACAAACAAATGTGTTGGTGCAAATTGCTGGCTATACCTTTCTTTTCTATAAGATTGACCTTCCAGGGCCTCCGTGTTGGTCTTCACTTATCCCATCTTAGGTAGTAAGGATCAAAAAAATAGTACCTGGCCCTCTTCCCATTCCCTGTACAACATTGCCGCTATTTGTTTCTTCCAGAAAAGATTAAATAAATGTGTAGTTTCATAGAGAATGCATCACACATTTTAGGTGGTACTTTTCACACACTCTACTTCAATCGAACCTCTGACACATGAACTGCACAATCCATATACAACTCTTCACATACCCTGTACACAGATCCAAAACTAGAAAAGATATAAAGAGCTTGACTCATTCATTTGTTCAGTCACTCAACTTACATATTGTGTTTAGTGCACACTAGAAACTGAAGGGTTCTGTGCAATTAAGTGTAAATAATAGCTCTCAATTTCTAGTCTCAAGTACATTATAGTCTAGACATGTCAACACTAACAAGGTATTCTAGACCTATGAAGGGTCCAGGAAAGAATTCAGATAAAGTGTCAGCAATTGGGAGAGCAGGTCTTACCACATTTGAGTTGACTCTATGTCTGAAGCATGTGATGTTTACCACATAAGGCCAGTCATCAGGCTCCATGAGTACCCCAGCCGCATGGGCACATGTGACATGGAATGAAGCTGGGCATCGACCATAGGAACACTGGATGCAGGCTCCAGAAACCTTCTTAACCCGGTGTCTGCAGAAGATGCATTTCTGAAGGGTTAAAACAGAGAATAACACCCATTCATCAGAGAATAATAGTTATTAGATGAATAACACATTACATCAAGTTCTGACTCCAGGGGCCTTACCAGCAAGAACATCTGTAGCAAAACAATCTTTTCACTTTAAAAGTAATACACTTGCCGGGCGGTGGTGGCGCACGCCTTTAATCCCAGCACTCGGGAGGCAGAGCCAGGCGGATCTCTGTGAGTTCGAGGCCAGCCTGGGCTACCAAGTGAGCTCCAGGAGAGGCGCAAAGCTACACAGAGAGACCCTGTCTCGAAAAACCAAAAAAAAAAAAAAAAAAAAAAAAGTAATACACTTCCACAGTCATACTCCACCAGACATATTCTGAATTACTTCTTGTGGTCAGAAAAATCAAATTCTTTTTCACATGCTTCTCCTCAAACAGACCTCAGAACAAAGCCCTGAGTAATCTTGTATGCCTGCAAGGGGGTTTCTGGACATAGCAGGCTTTGTGTACACCTAAGTTAGAACCCAGGTGCAGATATTCTTACATTAGATGAGAATATTGAAAATATCCAAACATCATATATATGGGAGAAATTTTCCATTTACAAGTAAATGGAAAGCAATAAATGGTTCAGTGTGGAAACTAGAACTCAAGTATTTAATAATCTAAATCTGAATGCTTGCTTCTTGACGGAGACAAAAATGCCTCCCAAAGTGGGAAAAGTGAAAATTATCCCGAAATAGTATGTTTTTATTGAACATTTACAGCTGAGAATGGCTGGGGAAGAATGAAAACAAACAAATAATAATAACTACCATAATCTAAAAACTAAGTTTCACAGAAAGGCCTTAAACATTATCAGAACATTTGTTATGAGAGATAGAGAAAAATCAAATATTAGACTTATGTATGGTTACTGGAGGGTTAGAAGAAAAAAAATGGTTGTGGATCAGCATAGGGCCAAGAACAGAATGATCCCAAAGCTCAATCTTTAATTCCCAAACACAAAAAGATTTACAACTTGGTTAAATGTTGGTGCAATGGCTCTCTTTTTACAGGTCCTCTTTTCTTCGTGGGATAAAATAGGCTCTTAAAGTATTAAAGCCATGTGGGCACTTATCACAGTCATGTAAGAATCAATGTGTACTGAACTTGTAAATCCTTTTTGTCCTTACCTCTGATTACTGACAATCTTAAAGAGCGTTCCTTAATCTTACTCTGCTCTCTTGCTACCTATCTACAGTAACTGTCACAGCCTCTACTCATGCTGTCTTGCCCACAATAGAAATGCTGTTCTGACTGGTCTTTTATTTCATTCCATTTTAGTTCAGCTTCCCATGGCTGCCAGGTTTACCTTTATACAATATAAATACTATGTTGCACTCCTCAATGACATCTGGTTATCTTTAAGTTCTTTCAGGAAAGGGGTTGGGGGGGGCAACATGACATGGAAGTTTGCAAAAATCTCTCCGTCATCCATGAGAGCAGTCTTAGTTTTCACTGGTCTCCACAAGGGCACTACTAGATTCCAGGCATGAAGTATAACCTGGTTTCCCCTTATACTCAGGTTCAATGTACAATCACACATTTTATACTAGAGACTGAAGATGTGGCCTGTTTAAAAACATAAACATTCATACAGACATGAAGAGAGAAAGGAAGAAGAGGAAAGCAGAAGAAAAGAGGAACAGGGATAAGGGAATGGGGAGAGAAAGTATACTATAGAACAAAAACAAAGTCTATACAATCTCAAAGCATTACTTTATACCTTATCTTGGTATTTTTAAAAATCATTGGACTCTGTTTTGAAACAGCATGAAAGGAAAAGAAACTATTAGAAAGCCATGGAAATTCTGATCAGAACACTGGCTTCAGGAACCTGATATTAGGAAGGGGTTAAGGTTTGGGTGTCTTTTCCTTACTCACTGCTCTTTGGTGACAGAGGTCAACAGAGGATTTATATCTTCCTTTAAACAAAGCTATCAGCTCAAGAGTGGGAAGTCAACCCGTGTCTTCAGGCAAGCTAACAGTCATGTTTGTTTGTTTGTTTGAAACAGCATCATACTAAGTTGCCCAGGCTGGCTTGGAACTTGTTCTGTATCCCAGGGAGGCCTTGAAATTGTGACTCTCCTGCTTCATTCTCAATGCCAGTGGTTTGGATTACAGAACTCTGCCACCAGGTTTGGCTCCATAAAGTCTTAAATGGCAGTACAATGCTCCTTCCACAGGAAAAAAAGGGGACTTAAGAATAATAAGCACTTACGAGAGAGGAAACTTCAGAAAGACAAGCCCATTATTGAAGATCATTGTTTAAGGTATCAGTGATGCTTGGGAAGGGATGAAAAGGCAGTATCTGTGCAACAACTAATAAAGGAAACTCAAGAAGTCAAATGACGCATCTGAGAGAAGCTCCCCTATGGATGCTTTAAAGTAAGGTCACCAAAGTGCTGACTTCCAGAAACTAATTCAAGTGAAAAAAGCTGACACTGATGACAAGCGATTGTCCCCTTAAGTTACTCTTTATTTTTTTTCCAGGGAGGAAACATAGGACTGCTCTGTGTTTGTTGAATTAAACAAAATCCTTCAAATAGATTTTAGTCAAGTTTCACGTTCTGCTTCATGTATGTTTCAATATATACATGATCAAAAAGACATTGGAGCTATGAATAAGAGCAACCTGGAGATCTTCTCTAAACAGATTGCTGACCTCTCTAAGATTCTGTATATCTGCATTTATATTTTATGACATATTCTCAGTGATCCTGACTCTGATGCTCCATATAATCAGGTTTAAGGAACATCGGGTTAGAAAGCTAGAAAATATAATCAACTATTTTGAGGGACTTTTAGTACAAAAAAAATTGAGAAAGTAGATGTCTTTTCATCTGTTGTACAATGTAAAGGACTGAGACTCCTCAGAAGAATGATTTATAGAGCATTGTACTTTCTTGGGGAACTGGATTTCCATATTTATTTTCATGGCACAGGCCACTGAGAGCACTAACAGACAGAGGAGGTAGTGAGGCTTTGTGTATCATTTCTTGATGTCAGAGCATATAGTTTGGCAAAAGATATCAAGAAATGATGAACTGTGAAGGAGTTCGAGGTTCAAAGTGTATATTTTTCTCTTTTTCTATGATTTCTGTCATTTTGCCAATTTTTATCACTTATTCCTTCTATAAATACCAATGTAATTCTAAAATAGGCAGAAATGTCTAAAAATAAAATTACTGGGGTTTTTTTTGGTGCTCCATACAACCTCTTAGACCAGGCAGTACTGCGTATCTTGCTCCAGGGCTGATCCTGGTGATCTGTGTGATCTTTCCTTTTTGTAAGATCCATTCCCAGTCCCCACACCTAGTCCTACTTGCATATCTAGTCTGCACTTGCACTGGCCATAACCTATATGGGCTTTGGATAGGAGGCACATACTGTATGACAGCAAATGGCCCCTGCTACCATCTGATACCATCCCTCATGAGTGCCATACAATCTTCCAACTAAGTCAGGTCTTACACATTTTGCAACAGGATCACCCTATTAAGTCTGTCAGATCCTCCCACTCACAATTCCCAAATCTAGTCCATGTTCCCAATCCAGTGCAGTGGCTGAGTCTGTACTCTCATAACATACAACCTAGAGGCTCTAGACTAGAAGCATACCGTCTTCCAGCAAAGAGCCCCCCCCCCCCCACCACACACATCATTTCCAACCTTCGGTTCCAGGCTTCCCCACTTAACTTGTGCTGTCTCAGCACACCATGTCCAGTTTTCAGACAGAAAACTAACAAATCCACATGTCAAAATTTAGCCACAAAATAAAAACAATGTGAAAGACCAAGACAGTATGTCGCCTTCCCAATCCACCAGTCCTACAAAAATATTTGCCACTGAGAATTACCTAGCTGGAGGGGGTGGGAGGAGAAGAAAGAAAGAGATAAATTATAAACTTCAAAGAATATCAGAAGTTTAAAGAAGACACAATGAAACTGCTCAATAAGCTTAAGAGAATGAACTTTAAGAGAATGACATCTGAAAGATGCCCAGGAAAATATAAACATAAGTCTGAATGAAATGACGAAGGCAATGTAGGATTTGAAAATTCAATAAAGAGAGATATATTAAAGAAAACGCAAGCTGAAGTGAAGATGGAATTGGAAAATTCCCAAGCAGAAAAACTGAGGAAAAGCCTTATGAGTAGAATAAATTAAGTAGAAGCTAGAATAATAAGACTCAGAGATAAAGTAGACAATGCAAGCAATGAATATGAAAAATTCAATGAAGCACAGAAAAGGAATACAAAGGAACTGTATGAAATGATTAAATCTTTTAACTATAAGCATAGATGAAGGCAAAGGAAACCAGGCCAATGGCACAGACCAGATCTTCAACAAGATCATAGAAGAAAATATTCCCAAACTAAATAAAGTAAGACATATACATACACATACAAGAAGCAGAACACCAAGCAGATAAGACCAGAAAGAAACTTATTATATATATGATCAATAAAACACTAAGTATACAGAACAAAGAAAAAATATGGAAACCTTTGAGAAAAACGGTGTCACATATAAAAGAAAGCCTATCAGAATTAACTGCTGATTTCTCAATGGAAACTTTGAAAGCAAGAACTTGGATTGACATACTTTAAGTTCTAAATTACTACTACTGCCAACCTAGACTACTGTACTTGGCAAAACTGTCTGCCATAGTATAAGAAATAACTTTCCATGATGATACAAACAGCCTAAAAGAAAAAAAAATCATGTTCACAAAACCAACCCTAGAGAGAGTAGCAGAAGCAATATGTTGGATTGATGAGAGAAATACACATAGCCAAGATAACTTATAAGGAAAACAAACAAAGCTATAATTAATGAAATACAAAGCACAATTAACATAACAGCAAAAACCCACAAAACAACTGTAACCTCACACACCTACCAATAATAACATTAAATATTTAAAAGTTCCAGTTCTCTAGTTACAAGACAAAGCCTAGTTGAATAGACCAA